TTGTTAAGACAAAAAATTCCATATTTGTTAAGCTTTTTATCATGTTGGTTTCAGTTTAAAACAAACCAAACTGACATCCTGAGATCGAGGTATAGATAGGGAAAGAAAAGTCAACGCATAGAAACTCGTACTTGCTCGGTCAATTTTTTTACAACCCCCTAAAAAGTACCAAAAAAGAATAAGAAGTTGTTGGGAAAATGAGAAAAAGAACCGTGAGAGCATACGTTCTTCCTATCCACATCGAGAGTCTAATTTTCCATCTTGCTCCTATCTCCTCTCACTTCATGCATTCCATCAAAGATCATATACGGGATTGGGGAGAAGCAAACGCCTAAAGGTGGGGAGGTTTTATAACACCTAACTTTTGTTGTTATCGTTCCTCTAATACTAGGTGTTTTCACGGGCATTGTGAGAGTAATCAAATCCTAAATTCTTGCATTATATTATAGGATTTCTTCATATTCATTATGGACAAGTTTAAGATGACAAATTGTGAGTGTTCATGAGAGACTAGGTCCAATTAGGAACAAAGTTTAGGATATAGCTGAAGGCAAAGATCACGATAGAAAGAGGAAGTCCACGGTTGTGATCCCTTCCCGTGATATGATTTCGCATACAAGAGAAGAATTTCACGACCATGACCTTGGAGCTTAGGTCGCGACCCTAGTAACAAAATGAAAAAGAGAAGAAACAATTCTTGTGGTTTGAGTCGCGGGCTAGAGCACGACTGTGGAGCCAAAGATCATGATCGCGACTTAGAAATCACAGTTGGGAAGTCAGGCAGTGGTCTTCAAGGATTTTCATGCTAGAGAAGCACCGTTATGGAGTTCGGCTCACAGGGAAGATCACGACCATGATCAAAATGTGAACTCATTCTGTAAACTTATTTGTCCTCTGAGTCTATATATAACAGAGTCAACTTTCAGAGAAAGAGATCTAGAATTGATTTTTTCAACCCTCATAGAGAAGAGAGGTAGCCAAGGTTTGTACTAGAGAAAGGAAGAAGAAATGGAGAGTTGTTCAACGCTTGAGAGATAGAGAGTGGTCTTAGCACACACATTAGCTAGTTAAATCTCTATTGTAAGAGACACATGCAATGGTAGAGAGTGGTCTTAGAGGAAGGGATATGGTGTTACAATAAATGAACCATCGATGCATGATATGAATGAGCCCTAGTTTGCATGATAGTTTTCGAGTTCACTACCTCTTACAATAACAAATTTCTACTTTTATGCATCTATAAATAAAAAAAACCTCTAAATAACTTTACTATTCTTGTTTGCTTGCTTATTTCATGCATGTCACGATGGTTGGTATGAGTAGTTGTGAATTAGAATACCTTGAGGAATACGGCCCTAGGACATCTGATGATTTAAACTTGTATTACACGATCACTCGTGACCACCAAACTCATTCTTATGTGCACCAGGTACCATTTAACTTTAAATTTCAAAATTGGTCCCTGTTATTTTCCTTTTTTCCATTTTTTAACTATACAAAAACACTAGATAATCTGTCGCACTTTGTTGCGACTATTCGACTCATTCTTTTTAGTATTTGGTTTTGTATAGAGAATGAAATCTAATAAATAATAACTTACATATGCCACAATTTCTAAAATAAAATTCAGAGCTGTATCTTATATTATGAAATATTTGAACTCCATACCAAACACCTCATAAAGTATGGTTGGTGGAGTTGTGGAACTAGTTGATCGCACTGATGGGATTTCATGAAAATATCAGTTAGTGGTTAATGGATTTATGTAAAAAAATGGCACATGTGTATTCAGTTTAGCACATCACATGATGTTGCGTTGTATATCAAAATATAAAAAGAATGATGTAAAAGTGTTAAAAACAATTACAGCAAAGTCTTGCAACTATAATAAAATTGGTAGTCGTTATGGTAATTTGAACCCGTCCCGTCAGGTATTACTCGACCTTATCAGTGTTGGGGCACCCAGTAGTGTGGGGTGGGGCATGTGTACTATTTTTCGTCCTATGCTGCCTTGTCCTGCCTGTTCTTGAACTATTTTACATTGATTTATCTCAAAGTTTAATTATATTTCTCCTATTTTTACTCATCATAAATAATATTTTCACACAATGATACTTTAGATCAAGGTTGCCAACCTGGTTTAACCATTTGGCCCAGTCTAGCTAGTGGGGACAGGTTATGGTGATTACTGTAAAATAGTAATCACCATGGTTACTAACGGTAAATTGGGTATGACGAAAAAATTATTAATTATTTTTTAACAAATTACATTTTTGAAAATTATAAAATATATTAATTACAATTTTCTCTATCTTTCTCTCACTTCCACAATCTCCCGCCATATCTCTCTTCCTTCTTTTTCTCAATCTTTTCCCCTTGTTTTCATTCAGTCAAACTAATACCGCCACAACAATAAAAAAATACCAATCCATTAAAAAAACACTAACAATGCACAAAACACCAATACCATTCGAGAAATAAAAACACTATCATCTCACAAAACACCATACCATTGATAATTTAATCAATAACAATACATGTAAATCAATACCATTACATGATAATCAATACCAATGCAAAAAAAAAATATCAATGCGAAAAACACTACCACTATAGAAAAAGAACACTACCATTTCACAAAAAAACAATACACTTATAAGATAATCACTACCAATGCGGAAAAAAACAATACCAATGCGGAAAAATACTACCACTACGAAAAATCACTACCAATGCGAAAAAATCAAATATAGGATTTTTATTCATCCCACCTGTTCTAGTCACAGCCGTCCACCACAGCCGTATCCCAAAGAGAGAGAGAGAGAGAGAGAGAGAGAGAGGGTGCCCACAGCAATGGGCGAGGGTAGCCGGAGTGGAGGGTGGCTGCCGACAATGAGAGGTTGTCCAAGGGTGGCCAGCTTTAGGAGGGTGGCCGCCAGCGGATGAAGGGAACCACCAATAGAGAGGTGTTGACGACGATAGAGAATGGGGTTAGAGTAGAGTTTAGGTATATAATATAGGGATGAAAAAAATATCCGTAACCGTGGATATCCGTCCGAATCCGGCCTAATCGGGTAGGGTAAAACCCGAACCCGAACGACATTTAGTGGGTACGGGTAAAATCCGAACCCGAATATTGCGGGTAATGGGTGGGCATGAGTTTCTCACTATCCAACCCGAACCCGCCCGATTATGCACATGCATATGTCTTTTGTCTAGAAATCATCATTATTTTTCTCTAACATATTTTATATTTAGCATATAAATATAATATTTTCATGAAATTGTGTATTTTTAATTAATTTTCTACATTCTAGTGAATTATTTTCATACTTTTCCTCTTACATAATGTGAGAATACGTGTGAATGTTAACATATTGGTTGGAGTTATGAAGAGAAATTATTAACCATGGATAACCGTGGATACCCGAAATCCGAACGGGTATGGGCATGATTTTGATTTTCTACCCGTTTCACATGTGGGTATGGGTATGAGTAAAACCCGGACTACTATGGGTAGGGTGACGGATATGCACTATCTGCGTCCGACCCATTGCCATCCCTAATATAATATATAGAAATTAATTTTTTAAAGGATAACGATCAGGTGTGGTATTTTTTTTATTCTCAAAATTACCCTTAATCTAATCTTCACTGTCAAATTAAAATTAGGGTGAAATGAAGATAATGAAGGGTGTAGATTTTACTAGTCACTGTGATTACTTAATTTTAAGTAATCACCCTAATGCGTTCCCGAGCTAGTGGGTCAAGGGCGATCGGTTTAGCCCAGTTTAGCTCTGTTAATGGAGTTGGACGAAAACTAACAGGAGAGTGACTAAATGTGACATGATGTGGCCTTTATCCAATATTCTTTAAATATTTTTATTTTACAAGAGCTTTGGTACCAACTATGATGAGTTTGTTCCTTCATAAGAACTACTTCGGATATTTTGTGAGGTAAGTTAATTTTTTAGCTCTTGTCAAATTTTAATCAACCTTAAATAGTTGATCAAAGGTTCCCCTTTGGAATTAGCCATCTCTTAGTCAGGTTCAACATGCATAGAACCATTCTTCTTGTCTAAATTTTAGAACATCAAATTCAGAAACCTTTTGCTTTAGCATTCATTTTATTTCTAGTTTCTACCTTTATTTCTAGTTTCTACCATATCTAGTGTTTGGTCAACAAGATCTGGTAACTTCACGTTCTACTTTTTTGTTCAGATTCAAGCAATCCTTGTGAATTGTGAATAAATATTTCAACCAAAACATTTACTTTAACTTACAAATGGGTATGATCTGTAAAAGTTGAGTTTAAGTTATAACTAGAAGACTCTTCTTGGTTTACTATAGTTATTTAAGAAGAAAATTACTTTAAATAGAGTTATGAGAACCAAAATATAATTATAATTAAGAATTTTTTTCTTGCTTGACAGAAAATGGAAGTGGGACCGATATACTTTTACGAAATCTTAGTGATATCCGACACCTTATTCTAACTTAAGTGATATGACTATTCCAATTTTCAAAGTTAATGCCTTGTTCACTTTCATTTTTGTTTCCAGTTTTCTGTTTTCATGTGATAAATTTGGCAACCGAAATGAGAAAACTTGTTTACTTTTCATTTTGTTTTCTATTCGTCTCCAACTATGAAAACAGAAAGTGGCAACTTCCTGCTGTTTTCGGAAACGACAAAAATATTGTTTTCACCTGTTTTCAACATCTGTTTTCTCAAAAACAGGAAACAGAAATAAAAGTAAACAGGCTTAAGTGATGCACAATATGTTTTACCCGTAACAATACACAAGGTTTTTGTTTTTCTTTCTTCTACCTACAACAGCATTACTTCAACAACTAAACTGATCTTCTGAACTACTGACTAATCTTGCACAACAGAGAATAAATTCCAATGGTTCCCATTTCTACACCTATTTTACATTCTTAATTTACAGGGAGGCCTGCAACAAGTCCTAATCTAACAACTACAAAGTACCATTACTTCTTCACTCTGATGGGGAGATTTTGCCTTCACTGGTGGTCTCCGTGTGACTGCTACTACTGCTTCCTCGTTCACTTCCGCTACTGTCACTATCACTGCTAGTGCCGGAGCTAGAAGATTGACAATCATCATCAACATCGTCCTTCCTGTCTTGTACACCCACCTGAGCCTTGAGGGCTTCTGCTGCATTAGGGCCCTTTCCCTCATCATCGTCATCATCGCTTATATCGACTTCAGCAATCTCATCGTCGGTTTCAGCTTGTTGTGGCAAGTTTATATCAATGTCCAGAAGCGCATGTGCCCTCATTCCACTTGCATTGTTTTTGTTGGATGTCTCAGAATCATTGTTGTTATCATCATCACCATTGACTATGTCTATGTCTTCTTCAGATCCGCAGTCAAGCATTGTATCCATGATCTCTCCACCTCCGTTCTTTTTCCGATGTGGTGGCGATGAGGCTGATGGATTTGGAGGAAGAAGACAAAAGTCATTCCCACTCCTTTCTTCTTCTTGTTCAGAAGCTGTGCAGGGAGAACAATATAGTATGGTCAGTGACTTCTTGGCTACCCATTTCAGAGGTGAAAGGGGAAGAAATCATATTATCAATTATTCATACCTAGCGTCTGCCCACTAGTAATCATATGTTCCATCATCTGAACCTGCAAAAATCACAGCGAAAACAAGACGAAAGTATGAATCTTCACAGCTGATCTCCTGGATAGGTAGAGACTATACTTCGGAAGCACACACAATAAATTGGGCAGAGATGACCTCTGTTTGGCAATCATAGAATTAAAGTGGTCGAGAGACAAATAGATCAAAGCCCGAAATTTCAGAACATTTTTTTAACGAACTGGAATCGATCTACATTGGGACAATGACTGCAACTATTAAGAGTGTTGGAGGAACAAAGCATGTTTACATGATTCCAGGACAACATCTTATTCAGAAGAGTCTAGGAGGCATAACAATGAGAAGGCAGATGAAGTGAAACAACAGAGAAGATAATTCATTTGTTCCATCACATAGTTAATACAATCAAGAACGGAGCAGATTCTCATTGTAAGGAAAACAAAACAAGAAAACGAAGGGAAATCTTGGGAAGATTCACTCTACTCTTCAGCAGCCTAGTTGATAGCGGTATCAAACATATAAATTATCATCTCATGAAGTGTTCTGTTCATGTTCCTTCATTTGCTATCAACATAGCAAAGCAACAAAAGAGTACTACCATCTTCTCTATCCTTACAAAACAATTCACTGCCGTCCTCTTCCATCGATCTAATCTAAAGGGTAGAGAAAGAAGTAGCATAACTAACCGACATTTGTCGAGAAGGAGGAGTAGCCGCCAACGCCTCGCCGGGCAGCCGGACATGTTTCAAGCGCTTGACGGCGCGATGGAGGCGTTCGAGGCGGAAGGAATGGCCATCGAAGAAGAGCACGGCGTCGTTCTCTTTGTAATCCTCGTCGCTCACACCTTGGAAGATGAGCTTGGGTTTCCCAGGTTGGTTGTTGTTGTACTCCACCGTCACCCCTTTGTTGCCATCCTTGTGGAGCACTCCTGGCTGGCTCTTATCAATGGAAGCCGGCTTGAATTCATCTACGGATTGGAGCCACCAAAAAGGGGAAATGAAACGTTAACACGGGTTCCAGAATTCGCCATGCCGATTTCCGCAGAAATAAGGAAGGGAGAGGAAACTTACAGCGGAGGGTACAGAACTTGGACTGATCTTTGAAGGAAGGGCCTAGGGTTAGGTCATACCAGCGATCAGGCTCCGGTGCAGTGCTGGGTTCGTCATTCGCCATTATTCTTGTCCTCGGGACGGGATTCGATTCCAAATGCTTTCCGGATCTTGGTGAATTTGGGGCCAACAGGACAGGAGGATGAGCAGGGTATTTTGGTAAATGCAGTGATTTTTTCTCCAGAAAATGACCAATTGAACCGGGAGTAGTAGTAAGCTGGACAGACATTTCAGATGGAAACGATGGCTTTCTCCACGCGTTCCCTGTGCGTGGGACTCGCCACATCGCCTTCTCCTCGGGTAATTTTGTCGTCCACTGGTCCTCTGATTCGTCGGAGATGCCATATCCCGATGCTCGGATCTGGGTCGCCGATCATTTGTGGGATGTCGATTAGTTGCTCGTTAAACCCTGGAAACGACGCCAAGACCCTACGAACTTGCAAGAACTGCAAAACCCAGTTCGACCCGGTTCTCAATCATCCTAGTGCTTGCAGATTCCACACTGCACATTACGGAGGTTAGTCAGCTTTCGCTAATTCGCAGTTTGGTTTTGATTGCCGGCCGGCGAAAGCTCTTCCGTTTCGGAGTTAATTAGGTTTATTTCCCCGGGGGTATAGGGCTAGGATCCTCTGGAAATTTGAATATAGAAGGGAAGTGAATGATTTTCAGAAATGGAAATTGCAAGCTTCTCTGGAGTTGGAGTCTTTGTTAATCTTAATTGGGAGTGGTATACACGATCTGCAGGGGAAACATTTAGAATTTTCGTTGCCAATGTTCACCGGATTCTTGTTGGAGAGCGAACTGATAGTGTGGTCTCCCCTATCAAATCAGTTGATCTTGAGCTACTCTTTGCGTTATTGTTAGTCACATTATCTTGCTGCTGCAATTGCTAAGATAGTGGTGATGGCTGATTCCTGCTGTCGGCCAATCTATTTTCATTTGAATGGACTGTATCTGTTCTGAATGTATGTAGGTGAGACCAAGAGGAAGTTCGAGAGCGTGCACAGCGGGGGGACCATGAGCACACCGGACGCGGGCCGAGTTTTCCAGTATTGGCATTGCTGTGGGGCTGAGGATCCCTTTGATCCTGGCTGCACCGCCTCTCCTCACCAATCTTATGATGATTGATTGATTGATTGACGGCGGCAGGGATTCACGACCCTTGCTGATTCCACATTTTAATGAAATACTAGAAAAATGCCCGCTGCTACGCCGCGGGGACTTTAGTTGCAGAGTCGGGATGAATTGATGGGAAGTTTAGTTTATGGTCAATGCAGACTGTCATAGTTTTCTCTTATGTAAGGAGGTGGAGAGTCATGTTTGTGGGCATTCCTTCTACTAATCAATATGAGGCTGAGATTGAGATTGTTAATACTAAACTGAAAGTAGACATGTTGCTGACACATCAGTCGGCTAATAATTTTCCATGCTTGAGGAAAGACATATGAGTGTCATGCCATCCACGCGACATAAGCACAATGGCATACTGAACTGGTGCAAACAAAGATCTTAACTCTTCAGCCTGAGTGGCTTGACTCCTCACTCCTTACTAAGCCAGCAACGAAAGGCAGACAGGAAAGCAGCCGGCACGTGAAATGATTGAATCAAGAGGGGTTGGATCATACTGCTGGCTTGGGGCTGGGAAATCTATAAACCTAGAAGCACATAATGAACGTAGTCAATGACAGTAAAGATACAATTAAGGAATTAACTTAAATGTAGTTTTTCCCTACGAAAGATACAATTACAAAACTACTTAGTACATTCTATAATTAGTATAGGCAAGCATAATCTTAGGTTAGTCTAATTTTAATGAAAATCCTACTAATTAGGAAACCAAATGAATCTTTTTTGAGCACCAAATGAATCTTTTGTAATTCATGAAAACCACCCGTGACTGTCTATGACTTGGACACAACCAATCCAAAATTAAGATCCGATAGCCTTTTAAATGGTGATGACTGATGAGCAAGTCTAAGTTCAAATAAAAAATGGGGAACAAATGGGAAACAAACATACGTGTTTCAGGAATATGCAGACAAAAAAAAAACATGAGTAAGTTAAATAATAAAAAGCCGATCGACTCCATGAATTAGGAAAAAGGGCATAAACTATATCAGTAGGGCAAAGTCTTCTTCAAGCCTCCTTGAACAGTAAAGTTGTCAACTGTACCATTCCTTAAACGTTAGAAAGCAAAGCTAAAATCATAACTACCAATGCCAAGGCACCTATACGAAGGACTTTAAAGTAAAGGATAATGAAGTCGAGGTGATGCACACACGTACGCTGTAGAATAAATAATACATACCCAGCTGAGACAGGTGACTGGAGCCTGGCACGTACCGCGGCTGTGGTATAACTCTCTGAAAGCTTAATAGGTGTCGACGGTGTAGTTGCAGCTGAGAACACGACATTGAAGGGTATGGTCAGGTTTGTTTTAGTAATTACGAAAATAAAACCATAATTTTTGCGATATGGAAGTCAAATATATCTTGAGGATCTAATAATCTGAATCAGTTGCATAAAAGACTTTGATTTGTGGTACACACAACTATCATTTGTACGTCCATTGAGATGCAATTCCGTTATCGGGCAAAATATCAACGACATCTAGACACCGAGATAGACCATGCAAGAGACAGCATAACAAAACTGCAAATGCAGAAAAGCAAGGAAGGTTCTTTCAGCTGGTTCTTTGTCTCTGATAACTTCCTACAGGGTTACTAATTTCTAAGTGTCGAGCATGCATGAAAATTTGGAAAAACTGCACTGCATAGTTGGGTTTGATGTCCCTGCTACAACCTCTGGACCGTATAAGCAGCAAATGCAAATCTAAATGGCAAGTACCAGGATAAAATAGCATGAGAAGGTGAACCAACCTCTTGTCTAGGGTCTGCATTGCTCACAGAACACCGAAATTTGGACTAATGAAGCATTACTGGAACACTGAAATGTGAAATAATGAAGCACTCCTGGACTATGAAAGAATCTTTTTAAAAATCCATTGAAAAGTAGGTGGGCAAGCACCAAAAAGGGGATCTTGAAAGCTCAATCTGAGTTAGAATCAAGCAAGAAGCATCGAAGTGAAAAAGATAACTCAAGCATTGAAGTAAGCCAGATAGACTGCACTCTCAAATTATGATCAGTGGTTCATTGGACTTAACTAATGCGTTGAGCAATATTGAAGGCAACTAACAACCATATATAATTATAGGTAAACTGTGTTTCCATGATATAATGTTATGCCCATGCTGGGAATACAAAGAGATACATATACAGTTCAAAACAATACTAACCGGACAGAGTTGGCACATCAAAACCTGAACATCAGAGAATCATAAGCACCTAGGTTTACAATGCAACACAGTTGGATGCAAAATTACCAGGTGGGGACAAATGAACATAAAGCCCTTAATAGAGATTTTTGTACAATAAGACCACATGCTCTCATTACCGTGTATGAGAAACTAAAGACCCTCAACTATGCATCCAATGAGACTATTAAGTAAATTATCCAACATACCCCAAATTCAATTGAGAAATTTGATAACAAAAATTAAGTATGGTATAAACACAGATGGCAGCCATATTTAACTTTAGTGAGACTATTGTGTAAATTCTCTAGCCGACTGTAAGTTGGACCAAAAGCCAGTAGGCAGTAAACTTTTATATTTGGAATGATTAGTTACCACTTATCAGGAGTCAACCATAAAATTCTTTCATAATGTATTATCTTGAATTAGAGTTGGATCAGAGAGCAGTGAGGTTGACGAAGAGCAAACCAAATTTAAACCAATGAAGCAATAAATAGCATTCAAGAAAAAATGCTACCCAGTTTGTTTGAAACAAAACCCAGAAAGAAGCAATTACAAACCCAACCCGTAAACAAAGAGTAAAGTTGCTTCTATCCACTAATAGCTTTAGCAAAAATCGCCAAAGAGGCTAGGTTTAATTGAAGGTATGAATGACAGATGAATCAAAGGAATGGACTCATCTTTTAGAACAGAGCAAGGTGATAAAGCTGGATCGACTTTGGGACAATATGAGATTTTGGAAACAGATGCTATTTCCCCACAACCAAGCAACCAAAGGAAATTTGCTACGACAAACCTAGTGCTGAAAGGAATAGGAAATCAGGAAAAAAAATAACCAGCATTGCTTCTATCCATCCACAATCTGAAAGGCAGAGGAAATCACTCACCACTGCTTGTATCTTTGATTCCAACAGGAGTCGTGACATCGTTGTCTATCCTCTTACCCGCAACTTTTGCACTGCCATAGGAACAACAAAAAATATAATCTTTTACTTATAGGTTTGGGTTGGAAGCTAGAGAACCGAGTGAGAAAACTGCAAATGTTACCCCACTCTCAGATGTACAGTCTACACTATGTTCCCAAAATTAGCTCTAGTGTAAGCATAATAGTCCATCATAATGATAAAAACAACAGCTCTTTCATAGTTACACCAATCAGGCCAATAATAAACAGCAACTCGTTCGCATTTGAACACACAGCCTAGTGTAACTGTTAAGACATTGGTTGCGTTTGGTGCCTCTGTCCAACGTATCACAGGCATCCGCTCAAAACGGAATCAACACTTTTCTTTTTTCCCATCCAGAAAAAAGAAAAGGCATAAGATTCAAGATAAGCATGTTCTAAGCAGCAATTTTCAGGGGAAAAGAAGCACAAAATATACCTAGATTAGAGAGGAACAGACGTGGTGGAAGATTCAGCTGCTTTCGGGAGCTTCAACAGTGTCACGGTTTCTTTAGGTCTCTCTCTCGATTCGTAGCCATTCAATCGATCGCGAAAGAAAAGGTGTGGGGACGATGAAATCGACGGTGGCGGCGACGACAAAGAACCGGTTGCAGAAATGGCTCTCCGCGACTCCCGTCTCGATTTCCGTAGTCAAAGATTGAGCGCCGGGGCGGACAAAAACAAAGGCAATTTTCTTACAACAAAGATTGACGCGGAGCCAATTTTCTTTGGATTGATCAGCTGCGGCCCACAACCGTCTGCCATAGTAGGGTTTCCACTACAGAGATTCAAAAGAGAATGGGGGATTTCAAAGAAAAGAAATCGAAAACCATGCAGAGAATTAGCGGGAGGCAAAATCGTTAGTTAGAAGGAAGCAATAGCAGAGGGAACTTACCAATTCATCTGTCAAAGCTGAGAACTTTATGAATCCGTCCCGACGGTATTTCCTTCTATCCAAGGCTGAAATCAGAGAAGGCAACACTATTGGACAGTGAAAGTGATAGCGAGCTTAATCAGCGGTCGTGTAAAGTGGGATAGAGAAAAATGAAGCCAGGGGGTGGAGACGAATTGGAGAGGAGCAATTCGGAGGAGGTCGCTGCTTCACTAATCGAGAGGGGCAAGGTCATAGTCCTACAATTGATAGGAGGTAGCGTGTCTAGCAGAAACGGAATGGCGTGCTGACCAGAAAAGCATGGTCCCGGTGAAAGAGGCAAAGTCAATTCACGTGTGGAGAAAGGAGAGGACATCAGGGGGGCCGCAATCGCGGATTGTGCGGCAAGGTGGTGTGGGTTTCGCATACGGAAGGAGAGTTTGATTGGACCGGAGCTGGGCAGCAGGTACATGGCGGTGATGGAGACCGAATTCGGGTAGGCGAGACGGCGGCTTTGGGCAAGCAATTGAGGAAGGCCATAGTGGGGAGATGGAAGAGAGAGCCAAATGCCGTTTTTTTCAGTAGGTGACAAATAATGAAACACTAGTTGGAAGTTTGCCCCAATAAAGCGTAGCTAGCTTTTACATATAAGATAATCCTTTCCTTATCGTCACCTTCATTATTTATGTAGTTCAATTCATGTTAATTTCGATGTACCTAGAGAGAGTTTTATCTGCTTTTTTGGGAGCTTCATGTCTCCTGCGAATGTCGAATTAGAGTTACCTTCGTGTCTTCATGGCAACTAGGGCTGACTGAAAAGCCCCTCGACGGCACTAGTGGCTGTGCGGAGGCAGCCGACAAGCTCCTCCTCACCGGATGGTAAGAGTGAGAAGGAAACAGGTAGGGCGAAGAAGAAGGTCCAAGCCATGAACCTCGACCAGAATCTTAATGGCATCGACGACGGTTTACTTGCTAGCATGGATACTGATGAGACAACACAACAACAATCTCCGCCAGGCGATATGGGTAACATGAAGAACTAATGGAACGGGACGATTGCGAGATTGTTTACCGACGTTTTGCAGGATAGATGGCATGTTGAGGAGTCGGATTGTGAAGCTGTGGCTAAATGGGAGAAGGAGGATGATGATTTTCACCATCCCCTATCATTTTTAAAATTACGGTCTTTATTGCCACCTCAGCTAGGGATGACAACAAAACTCGAACTCACAGGTACTCACTCGACCCAACCCGGTCAACGTGGGTAAAATCCGTGTTGATAGGTTTTGGGTCGGATTCGTGTTTAAACCTGTTAACTATTCATCGAGTTGGGTTGGGTTTAGGTAAATCTGGCTCATGGGTACTGTCACATGTGGCAGATGATATAGGACCAACAAGGTAACAACATGGCGGCTGCACATGTGGCGTGTATGGAAGACTAGTAGCATAGAGATGCTCCTAAGATTCTCCACCTTAAGTGAGCTTAATGGTGCACTTATGAGTCACATAATGGGTGTCATTTATAGAGTGCATTATGGGGGGACTTTATGGGTGTATTGATGTGGGGTAGTGATGAGGGGCATTGATGCCTTGTATGTGGAGAGGCCTATATAAGGAGCTATCTCCCTCATTTGTACTCATTCAATCATTTTTTAGAGTAATAAACACTAGAGAGTTCTTCCACTTCTTTGTCTTGTTTCATTGCTTCTTCGCTTGCTTGTGAGTTTGAGAGAAGACTGCCTAGCGCTCTAACGGAATTGAGAGCTAGGGCTGCACGATCAAGAGTAAGTTCGTGACAAGGGGTATTCGGCTTTGTGCTAGCAAAGAAGAAGCAATAGCCAAACGAAAAGGAAGTGCCTCACCAAAAATTTCAGGATCATATAGCGGCGTTACCGATGCTGAGAAGCAACGTGGAAGAGATCCCAACCCAGGCTCAATACCAAAAGGTACGTCGAGCACTCGTGATCCTCTTAAGTCTCAAGAGAAGCGAGTCTCTAGAATGGAGGTGAAACTTTCAGAAGATGTCACCGCCATCGAGGATTTGGGAGCTAACTTTCAAGGAATGGCTGGTCGGGTGACGAGCTTGGATATCAACCATGAGGGGCTTCGAGAGGAGCTCATGGCCCTCATCAAAGACACAATCTCCATATCCATGAGCACTGCAATTGAAGTTGTGAAAGAGCATGTCCAGGTTGAGCTGGGCGGCGTGAAGGAGGCGATTGCTGATCTCAAGAGCGAGGTTACTCTCATGAAGAGAGCCATGGCTAGCGGACCAGCCACGATGCAATCCGTCCCACGTTCTGATGTTCCAAGACCCAAGAACTTCGGAGGTTCAAGAAACGCGAGGGAGTTAGAGAACTTCCTTTGGAATCTTGAGCAGTACTTCAAGGCATCCGACATCCAAGAGGATGAGGTAAAACTACGTACCGCTCCACTTTACTTGGTCGATGTTGCCATGGTGTGGTGGAGGCGACGTGAAGCAGACATCGAAAGAGGTACGTGTGTGATGGTAACGTGGGAAGATTTCAAAAGAGAAATCAAGAGGCAGTTCTATCCAGAGAACGTGGAGTTTGAAGCCCGTTCAAAGTTTAGAAGACTCACCCAGAGGGTAGAGTTAGAGAATATGTGAAGGAATTCTCTGAGTTGCTTCTAGAGATCCCAGACATCATTGATAAGGAGGCCATGCACGGCTTTCTTGATGGGATGCAACCATGGGCCAAGATGGAGATGTAACGTCGAGGAGTGCAAGACCTTGCAACTGTCATGGCCACGGTGGAGTCTTTTGTTGAGTACAAAAGGCAAGAGTGCAGCCGCAAAGCATCAGCCAGCACGTGTTTCCTTTGAAGGAGCGGAACGTCGAAGGCATTGGCCAATGACCCCTTTGCCAAAACCATAGCGGAGTACATCGAGCAAGGTAAGACTCGAAGATTTTGGATGAAGGATTGGCTCATCATGACCAAGAGAGAGCGTGTGTTCGTGCGGTCATGCCAAGGTGGGCCAACTTGAGGAAGGAGTGCCATGATTCCAAGTGGGCTGGCCATTCCGGTATCGAGAGAACACAAGCACTCATCAAGGAAGCATACTTCTGGCCGCGTATGAGAGACGACTTGGAGATGTATGTGAAGACTTGTCTTGTGTGCCAACAAGACAAGATGGAGCAGAGAAGTCCGACAGGCTTGCTAGAGCCCTTGCCCACGCCTCAACGACCATGGGAGAGTGTAAGCATGGACTTCATCATCGAACTTCCCAAAGTCGATGGATGCAGTTGCATCATGGTTGTGGTGGACAGGTATTGGGGCATTCCTAGCGTACGCCCCATTGAGTTTTGCTATATAGATCATGAATTAATCAGAGTTTGGGGCATGATACTATACCCTATCCTCTAATAGATTAACCCCAGTCCCTAATTTTCTAACCCAAACCATGAGGTTCCTTTAATCTTAAAATGATAACCAATGAAAATTTCGACGGATTAGAATAGTTGATTTTCATTTTTAAGATTAAACTAATCTCATGCTTTGGGTTAGTGAATTGGGGACTGAGATTCACCCGTTAGGGGTTAGGGTATAGTATCATGTCCCAAACTCCGATTAATTCTTTGTCTAAATAGCAAAGCTCAATGGGGCGTACGGTTGGCTAGCGTACGCCCAGACGTATGCAAAGCCACACCCACGTCTCTCCTGAAGTTTATAAATAGAGGACCTCTTCCCCCATTTTGAGAGAGCTGATTTTGAAATAGAAATTTTTAGTTTAGAGAGAGAGAAGAGAGAGAAGCTGGAGGAAGGAGAAGGAGGAGAAACTAGAGGAGAGGAGCCATCTTCTTCAGCAACAAGCCTTCCACAAAATTTTCTAGGTATCTTCTTCCCTCCTTTATGGGTTAGTCTCTTAAGGTATTAGGGATTTTAACCCCAAAACCCTTGTTTAGGGCTATTATGTAATGAATGAATATTTTAGGATTTTGAATGAATGTGTTTGTCTAATTTATTTTAAAGCTTCATCTAGCTTTAATTATGCTTGGTTTAGCCCCTAATATTCTCTACTACCCTATTTGAGCTTCTACGTTGGGTATTGAGTTTTAGGGTTAGACAGTAATGCGTCATCTAGCAGATTAGGTTTAGATGAACGAATAGGGTCTTGTGGTGGACGAGGTAACCGAACCCCTGCCACAAGAACGCCTTCCTAGATGGAACCCAGATGACACGTCAATGTGGACGGTGGGTAGTACTCATTTAAAGAGCTAAGTTCTTAAAGCCTCGGATACATGAGCCTATACCGAGGTGATAATGGGTGGGTAGGGCGTACTCGGAGGCGTGTAGATAATCACGAAGGCCCATGAAAAAGAGTCCACTCATCACATTCGCTTAACCCAACATGTTTAGACATTTGCATGATAGACCTAGACTAGGGCGAGGCTTAGTTCCACGATGTACCTACTTTAATTTATCCTTGTTTATTCTCTGTACTAGTTATTTCACTTGAATCCTCCAACACAACCCCTTAAACCGATCGGCTAGATAATAACAAAGTGGGAAGTAGGCTAGGATATCGGGACTCGAGTGAATACAACCTTGATTGGCACTATATGACAATGTCATTATAGGTTAAACTTGGCCTAGAATGGGGTAGTTATTGATACGTGCAAACTACTGACAATGACTTCCACGGAATGAATTGATAAGCAACTTTTGGAGAAATATACGAAATTTCCAATTTCGGTCAATTCTGCAAAAGGTGTCATTTAACAGGCTTACTAGACTAACGAAAATGTTGAGCTGATGACATTCAATTGCCACGTGGATGGAAAAAAATAGAAAATAATTAGGGTAATGTCTATTTTTTATCCAAACCTTTTTCAGATTCTTTTATATTAGGGCTATAGGTATAATGAGCACTTCTACTATGCTATATAGTACTTGTGCTTTAATGTACAATTTAAAGTTGTACCATAACATTAAATGTATAAGTTTAGGTTGTACCATAAAGCAATTTGTACCATTATGTTATGGTACAACTTTACAACTTAAAGTTGTACCATCACATAAAGGTACAAGTTCAAGTTGTACCATAAAAGAATTTGTATAAAAAGTATAGGTACAATCTAAAGTTGTACCATAACGTAAATGTACAATTTTAAGTTGTACCATAAAGACAAATTCTATAGCACCAATACTATATAGCATTGTAAAATTTCTCTAGGTATAATATGCCCCTCTACTATGACATTTTATCAAACATGCCCGTCTACTATTTTTTACATCAAATATGCCCATGTACTTTGAAAAAATTATCAAACATGCCCTTCTGTTAAAATTTTCATTGAAAAAATCGTCAATCGTGGTTGAACCGAGATTTAGATGACCCGACATCAGCAAATGGGAGGAAAATGCCAGTTTTGTCCCCTGTTTTATTTCCCTGGGTCTTTTCAAAGTGAAATTATTTGAATGATTTGATTATACAAAAGAACAAAAAATTTCTAAAGTGAATTTATTATGGATATTTTAGTCATTTGTGTCGCCCAAACTAAAGTTCGGCATTGGTTAATGGTTTTTTGATGAAAAATTTAACAAAAGGGCATGTTTGATCATTTTTACAAAGTACAGGGGCATGTTTGATGTAAAAAATAGTAGAGGGGCATGTTTGATAAAGCGTCATAGTAGAGGGGCATATTATACCTATAACCCTTTATATTATCCAAACCTATCGAAATACTAAGAACTAGCCAAATATTAACTTTCAGTTAGCAATTTGATAGTAATATTGACTTGGAAGAGACTCATGAGGGTCAACATTCCAATATTTTAATATTTTAACTAAGAAAAGAGTTACAAAATTATTAACGATAATGTAAAAATGACTAATATTTTTATGCATTATGAAAGATTTGGATAATTAATAGTATTTCGATAGGTTTGGATGATATAAAAGAATCTGAAAAATATTTGGATAAAAAATAGACATTACCCAAATAATTAATATGTGCTTTATAGAAAATGATAAGCGACGACGGAAGAAATAATTATTTTTTAAATTCATGGTAATCGATCTAAAGATGATAAGCATCGGCGGAAGAAATCCCAATTCATGGGGAAAAATCCCTAAGCCTCGTGGTCAGTTGGAATTGGATTATTGTATTTCATGATGCCTAATACTAATTATTTTTTAAATTAAAATATGATGTGGCATCTACGTGGCAAGTCTAGTTGAGTTTTCGTTGACGTGTGCGTTGATTTGACATCCTATTCATTCTATTTTTAAATTAATTGACGAGATCTATAACACCGTTAAAGTTTGTAACTGAAATAGCTAGATTTCTCTCATCTACCATCCAAAATTCTACATATTTTATATAATTTTCAAAAAGTGGTTATTATTATCACAAATTGTGACTGCATCTAGAAAATGCATACGTCAGCATGTGGAGTTGCGTAAATTGAGATGGAAGGCGCGTTTATAAGCTAAGGGAACGTGCAAGCTATCTATAATGGGACCCATAAAAACAAAAACGGCTTCACAACGTAACGGATGGATGGACGGACGGTGATATAATAATATCATAAGAATCTTTAATGTTGGACAAATTCAAGCCCTCACGAAACCAAATGATAACATGAAGCAAACACAAACGCAGCACTGCCCAGGTACGCGTATTAACGCATTTCTTCCTTCACAAGCAACTCCTGGAGCCGCGCTATGAATTCGACCTCAAATCTAAGTTCTCCCACATTCAAATTTTACATACCGTTTGGTAGAAATGAATTTTATAAATTTTGAGAAATTCATTTTGAAATGAAGTTTTTTTTCGTTTGGTATTTAAAAGAAGTCATTTACAATTCTAAAATTTTGAATTCTACGGGATTGGAACTAGTTATAGCAATTTCGAGGAATTGAGATGGAATTTGCAAATGAATTCCACAAGTATTTACTAATTATAATAGATTGACATAATTATCCTTATTTATTAACGAAATTACTTCTACATATATTATTTGGCGCCAATTGATGGAGTATGAGAAATGTCATCGAGCATTTGATTGAAACGCTAGTAGCATATGCTAGTTATTTTCTATTTTTCGCTTTGATTGTATCAGTACTTTGAGAAGACACAACCAGATTGTATGGTTCATCCACGAAATATTAGAAAAGAACTAATTATTAGAATAGAAACACACAAGAACACTTTTGATATACCACGTATGAGATCAAAGACGTTTTTTAGAAGATGAATTTTCAATGAATATTGTTTTTCCGAACATATACCAAATTTGGTTTGGGAATTCGATTCGTTTATTTTTAAAGATTGAATATGACTACCAAACACAGTAATTTATTTTAAAATAAAATGAATAATGGACCATTATGAAGAATTGAAGTTATCTACTACATCCATTTCCATCTAGAGAATACTATATTCAAAAGTACGTCAGTCAATCAATACGATATATATATATCACCATAAATTCCATCCATTATCATCCCATTATAACCATATAACCTCCCAAGAAAATGGACATAGCAGCTGCAGCCTCCATGCTGTCAACCTCCACCTTTCATCATCATCATCCATTGCTGCCCGGCCGCCGGCGGAGACCCTCAGCTGTTCTCGCTTCCTTAAGCGGAAGCGGCGGAGGCGGCCGAGCGGAGAACGAGGGCAGGGGAGCGGTGGACGAGAGCTTGGTGGTGCTAAGGATGCGGATCAAGGAGTTGAAGGCGGCGGAGAGGTGCGACCACCCGCCGTCCCATTGGATGGAATGGGAGAAGCGCTACGCCGCACACAACGCCTACGGCTCCGACGTCTGCCACGCCGTGGGGATGCTCCAGAACCGCCTGATGGACTCCAGGCCCAGCCTGGCGCTGGGAGCGGCGGTGGTCGTGCTGCTGAGCTTGCTGTTCTCCGCCGGGGTTGTTTTGGTCTGCGGTGTCGAGATTGTCAGGCGAATCCTCGGTTGCGTCTCCTGGCTGTTCTTCCTCAATTTATAATTAAACTAATCATTAATTTCGTTTTCACAACATTAGTATTTGTACGCGCCAAGATCGAGTATAACTCACGCCGAGTCGCTGACGCGTACTCAAATTTCCCAACCATGATTAATATATATATTTCCTTCACCAAAAATCTGAAATCCCCATCAAAATGACAGGTTTGGGTAGTTATAATCACTGCTTTTACCAAAATATGTCATGTGTTCATACTACAAAAAATGCCATGTTCACGATTTTGTCTTTGAGTGAAGCTTTTAGGTGAAGATTCGTGATGGTTTCTAGGTAAAAGTACTCATTAATCTTAGTTGTGAGATTTTGAAATTTATGGTTAGGCTTTAATTTAGAATATTTCCTTTGGTTTACGCCATAAATTAAGTCGGCGATTTTCTCGTATCAATGACACATCGTAGGCTTAGTTATAACAAGAAATACTATATGATGTCTACAAAACACTATATAGCAATGTCAAAAAACAACTTTTGACACGTCACCCCTTGCTGCAATTAGCGCACAGTTCGGAGGGTCTGTATTGTAAATTCAGACTCCGTTAATTTTTTTTTGTGTGAAAGTCTCTATTTCTTCGTTGTTGAGTGTATCCACTCTCCCACCGGAACAATCGCCGACTCTCCTTCCGGGAAAGCTCCCGTCGTTAAATCCCCCAATCTACTACCAGAACCTATCTCAATTGCGGCTCTTCCCACCACAATCTGAAATCGAAATCATTTGCCTTATTTTTTGTCTGTCTCAATCTGAGCGAATTCCCACCGGGCGACTCATCGAAGTTCATCTCATCTCTAATCTTCTGTTCAGCGATACTCAATCTGAAATCCCCCATCGTCGCCCTCTCTCTACGTCGGCGTTCGTCCCTGTGTATGTTCGCATATGCTCTACGTTGGCAAGTCCTAGAAAACAAATCCATCTCGCACTTGATGTCCCCGTCTGTGTCGCGGCTCAATCTGTCTCTCTCGCCGTCTCACTCCTGCAATCTCTCGCTCAATCTCGCTGGCCGTCTTGCATTGCTTGGAGTTCAAGTTTGAGGTTCGTATCTCTTTGTAAATTTCATTTTAAATTGCCAAAAGGTTGTTGGCTTAAGTGGTTAATGTGTTTGAACTGCAATTTGTGGTTTATATGCACCATGGTTAGGTGTACTGTGAGATCACAGGAACTCGATTGGATTTCCGAGTACTATTCACCTAGGATGAAGGCGACGATGAATTTTGATGTTCTATGATATGTAATTTTTCGGATTAATGTTTGACTTTTGAAAGTTTTGATCTTTTCTTTTTTCGGTTTATCTTATTCGTTTCCCAGTTATGGATAGGACACAAGCATGTCATTGGATCCATCAATTATAGGTGTTGCTCTGGCTAGAGGTAGAGTTGCTATGAAGGGAAGACACAAATCATTTTGTTTACTTGGTCTCATTAGTTAAATTCCCTCAACTAATATTTTGTTTATCTTATACTCAATATGTTGCCTTTTTACTTGAAAGTGGCAGCTTCAAGCACGATATAATTATTTTCTTTCACTTCACTATAGAACCTATTTGATTTCCTTTCATCAATATAAACTACAAACTGTTTTGTTCTATGTAGTATGTAACATGAGAGCTTACTTTCATCTTCTGAAGCCGCCTTACACGCATCCTCCCTTACATTACTAAGAACATGATCTGCATGTCTCTCTTGCTGCTCCAGTTCTTCAACACTTGACAAAGGACGATTTGAGCTAGTTTTACTTTGGTGAATTCCACTTTCTAGAAATCTATGGAAATGAGTGCTTCCTCATTCGAACATGGTACATACTTTTTCCCTTTCTTTCTTCGTCAACATTAGCATCATCATCTATTCAGCTTCTTGAAATCGGCAATGTGCCCCTCACGTATAATTCCATTCACTGCAAATGTTGGTGCAGATTCATTATGCATTCTCATCTTAATTCAAGAAAGTAGTTGATCCTTTCGACTTGCATACTACTTAGATTCCTTCTAAAGTGTAGTGGAATCTTTACTCTATGTATTCTCATTTGATGCTTGATTTGTATGTCTATTATACAAATCACTTATGTCCATTCTTGGTCCCTATTACGGTATAATTAATCACTTAATGATTTAATTTTGGTGAGGAACTTGCAGAACCAGTGATGGTTTTGCTTGCAAAGTTGGTGAAATATGTAAAGTTTCTTAGTATTGAGTTCTATAGGATTGATTAAAGCTTTGAATGTTGTTGGTCCCATTGAAATCTTAGCAGACCATACTTTCTTCTTCTTTCCTTATCCACATTTCAGATTTGTTCAAGCAATTTATGGTAAAGTTAAAGTCAGTGATTCTTTCTTCATCTTTTGCTGATGTGGTACTTATGCGGTAATGCCAACAAAATAGTAGCTGAAATATGTGAATTCATATGCTTATTGGTGCGATATTAGCCTGCCAGTTTGAACTTAAAGTGAAATTTAAGTTTGCCAATTTAAGCAATTTAAGGTTTCTCGAATGTAGTTGCAACTAATTTCAATACTCGAAAGTTGGACATTTGCATTTGGTTTTGATTGATTCAGAGTTAGCTATAGTGAGAATCAATTCAAAAAGAATCTGCCTTGGTAGTTGCGCTCTAACTTTTATTAGTTCTATTGTTTTGAATGTGTTATTTACAGGGGTAAGATATTTGGGCTATAATCACTCTTTTTTGGTTTCCTATCCAGCTTGAGAGAACAAGAATTCTATGAAATCAGGTTATTTCAAGAGTAAACAAATTTGGTTGCTGCAAATTTGGAGGAAACCTGCAATACTAATCCAAGTCTTGAAGAGAGTACATTAAAGAGGAAGAAATTGATGGACTCTGACACTAAGATAGTAGAGTAGTATTGCTGGAACTAAGGTCCACTTTATGAAATGTATTTTTAGTACTTCGCAAACGGTTGGATTTTCATAAAATTTAGACTTACATTGTAAATAGTTTCAGCTTTCACGTTTTGGTTATCCTTCTTCATGGACAATTGGAATTACAGGTTGAAATTAGTATGAATTTGTGTGTACATAATAATAGCAGCTTAGTTGAGTGTGTGTATAACAACAATAACAACTTGGATGTGCGAGTTTATGCTAGCTGCAACTTGCATTTTCGTGTTGATTTTTGTAAAAACAGCGAAAATTGTTAAGTATAAGTTTAGGGAAGGTTTGAAAGTTGCGATTGTTTTGGTGAGATTGTTACTATACATGTATTGTTTATTATGCATCATTTTTTATTATCAGAACCAACACATGAATTATTTTTGTGATGCGACAAACACTATTACTCAAAATGAGTGATTGTTATATCTCAACTTTGGTTGAGTTGAGATTGTTTTGTCTCAGCTTTTATCTCATGTGACATACACAATCTGACAATCACAGATATATACCAAACATTGTATTTTACAATGCATCAAATTTGACAATACATTTATGCAATTGTTAAATAGATGTATTCTTGACAATACATGTATAATTATACATGCATTCTCAAGAATACATCTTTTTAACAATCGCAACTTCCAAACGACTCCTTAGTTTGTAAACTTTATGTACATGAATAACACTAGCAGCGCACCGGCCAACAGGTCGGGCCCAATTGCTAGTTATATTGGACCGTATTGGGCCTATTTGCCCAATCCGGGATAGTCTATTGTACTTACTTGGCGGTTAAGGGTTATACCCGTGTGTTTTTGGTGATAGAGTATAATTAGGCTTCCTTCATTTCTTGTAAACCCTAAGAACACAAGAGTTGTTACAGCCGTACTATCATAGTGAAGCTTCTTATTTGAGAGCTATGCTCTCTGTGGAGTAGTCCTAGCTATTTGCTGGGGAAACCACATAATTCCTTGTGTCATTTATTTTCCGCAATTCTACGATTTTACATGATATCAGAGCTGTGACGATCATGACACTTCTTTAGTACATCATGGTGGGCACAGACGATGGTTCCAAACCGCAGAACAGTGACAAAGGCCACATGGGCATTGCTGGCGATGGCGGTGATGAGATCCCGATCTCCTCGCCGCCTTTGTACCTTCATCCTTCGGAAGACCCAGCGATACTCTTTGTTCAAGACCTCCTGTCAGACACGAACTATGGCGAGTGGGTCAATGATATGACCGACACTCTCATATCCAAAAACAAGCTTGCTTTTGTGAATGGAGGGCTCCCGCGCATGGTATTGCCCCGGAAAATTTCCGCTCGAAACGTTGTTTAATAGACTTATTCATCCCTAAAGAATAGCCTCAGGCTGAATCCGTGATCTGGTTCGGTGGCCCGTCGTGATGCGTGGGATCGCTGCGATGCCACAGTCAAGGGCTAGTTGAAGACGACCATGAGTAGGGATATTCGGAACAGTGTACATACTGCCACGACGGCCCGCACCATATGGCTTGATTTACAGCACCGCTTCGGTAAGGGTTCAGCTCAGCATGCGTATGAGCTGCGGTGCATCATTGGTTTCTTGAACCAAGAGAAACTCAGTGTTTCTGCCTTCTATACACGATTACAGGCTTTGTGGGATGAGATGCAGATGATCAGTAACATGCCGCGTTGCCCCTACGCAGGCTGTACGTGTGGTGGCTGTCGGTGCGATCTCCCTAAGCAGCACCAAGACAAACTTGAAACCGAGCAACTCTTTGAGTTCCTGCTCGGGTTGGATGAGTCATTCTTCGTCGTTCGCAGCCAGATTCTCAGCATGCGGTCTACCCCGACCTTGTCCGAGGCATATCAGTTGGTTTCTGTCGAGGAGCAACATCGATACATAACTAGCAGTCGAAGCCCAGTGATCGAGATGACCGCCTTTCAAGCCCAATCGGACACATATACTCCCACTGATTTGAAGAAGCCGCATTATTCCCATTGCAACAAGCTGGGACATCACAAGGAGACATGCTATCGACTCATCGGTTTTCCACCGCGGCATCCTCGTGCGAAACAAGGTGAAGGTCGGAATGCTCCCCCGCGTCGCTCCAAAGCAGCTCACGTCGAGCCTGAAACCAGTGAGACTCATTCCATACCTGGTATCACTACTGCCCAACTAGCTCAACTCAAGCAATTCCTCTCGGGTTTGGCTCCTGATGCGGTTTCTGAGCCGATGGCGCATATGGCGGGTAATCCCTCTCATCTTTATGAATGGTTAATCGATTCAGGTTGTAATGAGCATATTGTTAAGGATGCACGTTGGTTACATTCTCTGGATAGTACGAATAGCTTCTCTAGCGTACATATACCATACGGGACAGGAATTCCGGTTAGAGGGGTTGGTTCAGTGCAGTTTTCACCTTCTCTTACTCTTAGCCGAGTGTTACACGTGCCCGATTTCAAGTGTAATCTGCTCTCTGTGAGTCCTTTAACTCAGGATCATAATGTGGCATTCATGCATGATTTCTGCGTGCTTCAGACCTTACCTTCTAGGACGCTGATTGGCGTCGGTAGACAGTAGGATGGACTTTACTACTTTCAGCGTGTTCCTAGGCAGCCGATTCCTCAAGTGTGTAAGGTGGTTGGTCGAGCAGACGCAGTGGATTTGTGGCATGCTCGCATGGGGCATCCTTCTTTTGATCGATTAGCATTGTTAAAGGATTTTGTGGATTGTGATTTTAGTTATCGGCAAACTTCTCATTGTGATTCATGTTTGCGTGCTAAACAATCTCGCACTCTGTTTCCTCATAGCTCAATCAAAACTACTGGTTGTTTTGATCTCATTCATATTGACATCTGGGGGCCGTATAGCACTCCGTCTCTTGATGGGTCTCGTTATTTCCTCACTGTCGTTGATGATTTTAGTCATGCGACGTGGATTTATTTGATGCGGTTTAAGTCCGATGTGGAGCGCTATCTCAAGTTGTTTTGTGAGATGGCTTCTACTCAGTATAATTGGATTGTCCGTCGCATCCAGGCTGACAATGGACTGGAATTTCAGACAAATTCTCTCCGTCGTTATTACGAAGCCAAAGGCATAATACTACAGACTTCTTGCATAGATACTACGCAGCAGAACGGTGTTGTTGAGCATAAGCACCGTCACCTCTTAGAGACCGCCCGAGCTCTTATGTTCCATGCTGGTATGCCCGTCCATTTCTGGGGAGAGTGCGTTCTTACTGCTGCTTACTTGATTAATCGTCTTCCCTCCCCAGTTCTCTCCATGAGAACACAAGAGCTGTTGCAGCCGTACTATCATAGTGAAGCTTCTTATTCGAGAGCTATGCTCTCCGTGGAGTATTCCTAGCTATTTGCTGGGGAAACCACGTAATTCCTTGTGTAATTTATTTTCCGCAATTCTCCGATATTGTATATCGTTGTTATATCGTGAGTCGTGAGGAATCATATGTTGTGCTCTATTATTATTATATAATTATTATTATAAAAAGAACAAACAAAGGTTTACAAAAATTTAGTGGACAATCTGGATACAATATGGACTTCCACTCTTTTAACTACAACAAAGTTAAAAAAAATGTATGCGGCCGCCCAATCCCCTACATTATGTGACACAAAGAATTTTTGTATCCACTTGAGCAAAGCTACAGCTGCCGTATCCAACTCTCACAGCAAAGAAAAAGAAAAGGACAAGAAACCGTAACCAGCCGCCATACACAAGTCTCGATACTTGGCACACTTTCGCTGAGTTGCATCATCAACAACTCGGCACGACACAAAACCAGTAATCCCAGTCTGAGCCAAAGGTTAATACCCAGTCAGATCAACACGCACATCTCGCACCTTGTCCTAGGAATTAGGGGTGGAAATCGATACGGTATCGATATCTCAATACCAAATACTAAAATCCCGAATACCGAATTACACCCTAGAATCAATTCCAATCCCAATCACTAAATAATTTCGGTATCCCAATCCCAATTCCTAAATATTTCGGTATCCCAATCGGTACTTCGGTATCACAATTGGTATTATCAAATACGGAATTAATTATCTTTACAATTAATAATTAAGGGTCACGCTGGCATGCTCCAGACGCATAGCATGCTCCAGACGCATAGCATGCTCCAGACCTTCCGGACCATTGATTTAATCTAACGGTGTTGATTAATTCAAATTACATTATTTATTATTTACAATTTCAAATAAATAAGTTGATGTCAATACATTTTCATACGACCTCTTTAGTCCCTATACAAACTTTTTCACATAATTTTATATTACAGTACCTAATGTTCTCCGGTCACCATAATTAAGTTCAGGGGACGCCAACTCCTCTCTTCATTGCAGCCTCTGTCATTGTTTCCACAGCTTAATTTCCTGGCCACTGTACACCGTCAAATGGTTTACCATCGTTGCGAAAGGGAGCAATCCGCTAGGAGCTTATCTGACACCTCTCTCTTCTCCGCCAACCCACGACACCAATCCAATCGCTTTCACTCTTATCCAGCAACCCAATTGCCGACCTCGCCGTAATCTCATCACCATCTCTCTATGACGGAAACCCCACGTTCTGTAGGCACCCACATCCCCAGTGGCGGAGCCAGAAAATTGGCCAAGGGGGTGTCTTTATCATATCATAAAAAATCACCTATACAATAGAAAAGTCAACTTTAAATTAAACAAAAAGTCAACAACGCAATACTCTAAATTCATACAATTACATTAAAATAGTTTCACGTACACCGGTTACAACGTCAAACAAATAAGTTCAATACATACAAATCAAGACTTCCATTCATCAAATACTACAAATTAGAACTCAGAAGTACCTTGGAATTGATTTTGTGAAACAAACAAGTGAACTTCAATTGATACTTCTTCACTTTCAACTTTGTTTAAACAAAAGACAAGAAATTTCTCTGTTGTAGAGCTACAAAAAAAAAATGAGCGAGTTTAAACAAAAGACAACAATTTATTACTATAAATAAAGACGAAACTGCATTGCATAACAAAACTCACTCGATCGAAATGATAAGAAATTCTTCCTGCAACTGAATGGTCATTGGCTCGAATTTGTATATACCCCTACTCGAAAAAAAATTCTCCAAACCCAAGGGGGGTGCTTGCACCCCCCTCCTCTACAAGTGGCTCCGCCACTGCACATCCCACCGGAAACCCCTACCCGGCGAAGCTCGGGTGCAGCGGCCTATCAACGAATTCTCCAGCAGCCTCTCTCTGACATTGATCTAGACAACCCCAACTCATCCACGTGATTGAACCCTTGATGGGAGGAAACTCTGCCTCGAATTTTTTCCCTATATTTCTTTTCGATCTTGTTGTATAAAGAACGACGATGGCAGGAAACTAATCGCCTAGTATCCCGATTTCGGCAATGGCCGTACCGCAACCTCTGTTTTCCACGACATCCTTTTGTGGTCGTACGCCGTCAACTAATTCCGGTGGTCACTTTAGGGTTTTAGGTTTTGGTGGTTGTTGAATTAGCATGATGATTGTAAAATTGAGGTTAGTTAATGGGGGTAGTTGTGATGAATTGATG